TATGACATGCATGTACTCTAATCTTGAACCTTCGGCACATCAAATTAGCCAAGATGATCCACAAATATCAACAAGAGGATTTGCCCCATTAACTAAAGAAATCCCTTTGAAACATGAAGAAATTTATTACAGTACAGCTCTTTTTGACCAGTTCATCCCATTACTGATGCCAAATATTACTAGACTTTGATTAATATTATATGCCAGAGGTGCTCCATCACTGACCTGCCAGATGTTTTGGATTGCCATTGTTGCTTTGTGCCATCAGGTCATTTCGAACTTATGAATTTTAACAACAGGACTGCCTGGCTGTCCTTGCTATGTAGCTACAACTGACCAGTTCTTTTTCCTCACTGGGTCCTCATGTGAGAAACATCTTCTCTGCCTTAATCATTCTCAGACTTGCTGGCCCACTTCTGAGGATGGGCCAGGATATTCCAGGGAGCTGTGCAAGGTTCTTTCTTTTTTCCCCAAATTAGAAAATGGGGGAAGGGGAGCCACTTGCTATAAAGTAACTCAAAAATTCCACTGAATTACTGTTATAGGAAAAAGATTACAAGAGAGATTTATTTACCGAAAGAGCATTTCAGTAAGACTGGAAATTTCAGCATCCAGGACATCTAAATACTACAAGCAAAAAAAGGAAGATAAGGAAAAGTATAAAACATATCCTTTAATATAATGCTGGAATCTGCACCCCAATGAAGAAGGTTAAAATCCCATTAAAAGGAAATGGGATTGAACCTGTTTCCATTACCAATGTAAATCGATTTTCTTTTTTAATGTTTCCCAAACATTGCAATATGAAAGAAGAGAGACCTCTTGTGGCATTTTTTTAAAATGGCAGTGTCTGCTGTTGGATTCTATTGAATCACTTTCACATGCGAAAAGCAAAAATTGATTTTGCTTGATTAGAAAATGGACATATTTGAGGCGCACACCACTACAGAGAGGAAATAATAAAGAACACAGCAATCACCGCAACTGAATAAGCCACAACTTCATCAACGGAAAATATGACACAACATGCTAGTTAGTAGCCAATGGGGAAGGAGGAATCATCCCACTGAACATCCAACTGACATGGCCTCTTGGACTGCTAGCCAAGATATCTCAGGTACCTTCCTAAGCACATCCTGCTAGACTGAATGTACATCAGTCCTCATGGTACAGGAAAGAATCTTCTTTAGCCTATCTGCCTCCCTTCCTCCAGTCTCCATATATGTAGTATAAATGAAGACCTGCTTCAAATTCCTCTGACCTATGAAACTCTAAAAGTCCTATCTGTTTCCCAAGAGCCTGGGGATTCCTCGTTGTGTATTGCCACCAATAATGACAATATTTCTATTTCAGCCACTTTACTTTTCTCTAATACTTAGTACTAGAGCTGTCTATGGATTGGCTATTTTTTGCGAATCGATTCGTGATTTGTTTGCAGGGCCTTTTTATTTTCTAATCTGAATTGTATCCACTTCTTTAGAACTCAAGAATTTACTTAAAATATGTTTCTAAAAATTATCCTGACAAGGCAACCATGTCAAGCTCTACATTCTTTAGGTTCTGTGAGTCTTGAATTCAAGCTGTGTTGATGCCAAGGATCTTGTAGTCTGCAACCTATACAGGTTCACACACACCACAAGTTCATGTCAGGTTCACACCACTGGTACACATTCATTCATTCATTCATTCATTCATTCATTCATTCATTCATTCATTCATTCATTCATTCATTCATTCATTCATATACCATCATCTGGCCAAAGGCTATTCTGGCAGTTTAGAATATACAGAAGAAAGATAAAAAGCAAAGCGAAGGTCTTAACCTTTCAGAACTGTCTCATGTAGTTCAATGATGTAACTTCCCCCTGTATCATGATGAAAGAGCTGCTACTGACATTTGTTCAATTCCTCATTCTTCTTTGTACTGTGCCTCTTAAATTGCAACCCATTGTCTTAAACAGATTCAACTCTCTTGCTGAAACTCTTTGACCAAGGGAAAGGGCATTGTACGGTGGTGGTGGTATACCCCATCCAAGCTTGAGAACATTGTATTTTTGGACTGAACCTCCAAGAATTGGGAGCTATAGTCTTAAAATGAAACCTGTTCAATTTTCCCCCTGTGGAATTCTCTTTCTAAACAGTTCTATCAGGCATCTTTATTACCTTATTTTCTGAGCCATTAAGACGTTTTAATTTTCCTGTGCATTTTAAGTCATGCCTTAAGCTGCTATATGTTTTTGTAGCTGCCTCATCTTCTCAGCAATGTTATGATTTTATTGTACAGTTCAGTGTTTTATGACATACCTGCTGTCTCCATAAGTAGAATCCACTAGATGAAGGGCACTATATATACTTATTTAAAATAAACAAATTGTAAATAAAGCAGGCACAGAAGAAATTAAACCCACCATCTCATTGCCTTCTCCTGGAATATTCTACCCCAGTCATAAATTTAAAAAATACAGCTTTCCATACAGTAAAATAAACATGCAAAGTATAACTACTTCCCAGATTTGTAAGACTGAGTCTAATTACAAAGCAGACAATAGTCTGGTCATCTAAGTCAGAAAGAGCTTATTCATATCTATATCTATATCTATATCTATATCTATATCGATATCGATATCGATATCGATATCGATATCGAGACAGACAGACAGACAGACAGACAGACAGACAGACAGAGATATATGGATTCCCACAAGTGTCTCCTACCAGGTGAATGCACCTTTGTATGCCTTCCTTCCCGCTCCTCACGCATCTCACACTAAGGATTATTGTGAAATCCCACTTTTTCCACAAAGTCCTGCTGCCACAAAAATGGGGTGTTTGGTAGGGTGGAAAAAAAAGTAAGAACTGCCAACACTTTGTGCGCTTCTGAATGCACATGGAACTCTATTTTTAATCTCAAAGGCTAATTTTAAAAAATATGAGGTGCTCTTCACTGTAAGAACAGTCTGGCAAAATCAAAACACTCTTACAGACAATGTGCAATGTATGTTGTTGATATTTTAAGAGCACATGTATGCCGTAACTATAGAATTTTCTTGATAATTTTTGTGGCTTTCAATAGTATGATATAATGCATAATTTAGTTCTCTCTGCTCCTAGAAATTACACACAAATTGCAAAAAAAACAAAAAAATCAGTACTTAATCTCTACTAATCTTGTCCGGAGTCACAAGATTTTCTCCAAGGATGAAAGCAAACTGGAAGTATGACACTTGCTTAGGTCTTAAATGTCTTGTACAACTGCACAATTAATATGTTTATTTGTTTGTTTGTTTGTTTAATTAATAAATTCTTAGATTTTATCTCCCACCCATCTGGTCTGTATGACCACTCTAGGCGTATTCTTATTCCACAGCTCCAATTTATTTCACAGGGTAATTTTCTCTGGAGAAAAAAAACCACACAACCACAACATTTAGAAAAAGGATCCATCATACCAAGCTGCCATGTCCAGTTGTCATGGAACTACAGCTCCTAACATTCCTCATATTGGTTATGATATTTATGATAGTTAGGATTAATGAGTATTATAGTCCCACCAAATCTGGAGGAACCTACTGTGCCTATCCCTCTAGCTGCAGATTCTACTGACTATTCTAATATTCAGTTTAGTGTTAACTGAGGCATACACTTAATTTAGTACCTCCTTACTGGGATGTGATGGCGCTGCAGGTTAAACCGCAGAAGCCTCTGTGCTGCAAGTTCAGAAGACCAACAGTTGTAAGATAGAATCCACATGACAGAGTGAGCTCCCGTTGCTTATCCCAGCTCCTGCCAACCTAGCAGTTTTAAAGCATGTAAATGTGAGTAGATAAATAGGTACCACCACAGTGGGAAGGTAACGGCATTCCATGTCTAGTTGCGCTGGCCACATGACCACAGAAACTGTCTACAGACAAACGCTGGCTCTACAGCTTGGAGACAGGGATGAGCACTGTGCCCTAGAGTCGGACACGACTGGACTAAATGTCAAGGGAAACTTTTACCTTTACCTTACTGTATGAGCTTATCTGTACCTGAGAACAGCATCCACACCATTGGAAATTATTGTGTTGTGTCAGGCATGAAACCATTAGGCTGGTTTGAGTAATGCAAGGGTCTATTCTGGTCCTACGTGTATGGTCAAGCATGGAGAAGCTGTCTGAATAGAGCTAGTATGAACAGGAATGTAGAAATGTTGGTCTCACCTGGATAAGCAGCTTATCCCACCAGAATACCAGACATGGGTGACACCTCTAAAGTAACTACACTACTTGGTCTGCAATTACTCTCTCATACATACAAGCCACTGTAATTACAATCCAGTCGTGAAAACAGGAGAATTCATGTCAGAACTTTTCAGATATTTTCAGTAACAAGAATGTGTAATATATGAGATATTTTAAATAACAAACATGTTTCCTCAAGGATTGTTCACATTTTGCCACCTGGGCAAATATTTTCAATTAATAAATTCCAGTTTGCACCATCCCTATCTTACAGTATTCATAAGCACTTGCTTCCAACTGAATTTAGACATTTGATCTTCTGTTTCCTTGAAAATCCCTTCAGTCTCTTCACCAACAGTAAAAATGGATGTTCAGAGGACTATAGTTTTAGGTCACAACAACAGCAAAAGCAGCAGCCCTGACTTTTCACATGCCCAGCAGCATGATCTCTTTAAGCTTTGAACTCTAGATCATCAGAGATTTGGTAGTCACAACATAAGTACAGTAAATGCAAATCATCTGAAGGCTGAAACACCAGGAAGCACAACAAATCAAGCCACAAGAATATTTCCAGGCTCTGCCATAAGTGTGGCTGGTTCAAAACTCAAACATTACCGCAGAGTTTACAAAATCCCCAAATAAGGAAAACAACTACAGTCATTGATGAGCTAACACACTGTCTGAAGCTCTCCTAAATCATGCAGATTCTTTTCAATATTTTCTAGCAGTGACATTTGCATGAAGAACAAAAGAACTTTGGAAGGGGGAGACCTTACTTACAGGAGTGCTGCCATCTGAAAAGGTGTTCATGCTGATGGAACTGCTCAGCTTGTCAGAGGATACGGAAGGTGGTGATGGGCTGCGCTTCTCCAATTGGTCCTGGTTCTGTATATCTTGACGCTGTAGATATTCTCGCCATGCTCTCTGGATGCTACATGGGATTTGAAATATGGGTGAATGCAGAGACTCGAAATGCATTTGCACAAAGCTGAAATATTTTTCTCCTCAACCTTGGGCCTCCAGAAGTTCTTGGACTTCAACTCCCAGAAATCCTGGCAGAAGACCAGCAGTTGTAAGTTCGAATTCACGCAACGGAATGAGCACCCGTCGCCGAAAGCTGAAATATTTTTCTCCAAGGAAACGTGATGAAAAACTATCCTGTAGAGCAGTGGTCCTCAACCTTGGGCCTCCAGAAGTTCTTGGACTTTAACTCCCAGAAATCCTGGCCAGTAGAGGTGGTGGTGAAGGCTTCTGGGAGATGTAGTCCAAGAACATCTGGAGACTCAAGGTTAGAGACCACTGCTGTAGAGGTAAAATGAGGTTATGCTCAACACTGGAATTTAAGTGGCCAAATTTTGTGAAAATAGTTTTTAAGGAAGACTTTCCAAAAGCATGGGCACAATCAACCCAAACTGAATCTCTCATGATTTTGGCCCTGCCCAGAAAAGTTATATATGTGATGCCTATGTATGCCATCCTATGCACATGTACCTGAGAGCAAGTGTCACTGAACTCAGTGTTCTCACTGAGAGCAGACGTATATAGATGGTGATGTTTGTTTTGTTGATGCTTTTTAAAATAATGGCCAGAATCCTATTGTCCTGTCCTGCTTTGCAATGCTGTGTTACATGAGCTGTAGGGCTATTCCTGAGCATGCACAAAGAGGGACCCAATGCCTCTTTGCACAAACACAAGGTCAGTAAATCACAATTAGGTCAATTTCCAGCTTGCGCAATGGCAGGTTAGAGAGCACAGAACATACAAGGCAACGAGTTATAGTTCAGGCTTAGTACAAGAAGATTCTGGTCAACAACTATGGCCAAAATCCTGTTGCTTAGTGTAGCAAATTGCACTAGAGTAGACCCATTGAATTAATGGGGTTTAGTAAGTAAAATCCTCCATAGATTTCATTGATTCAAACAGGCCTACTCTAGCTGCAATTTTCTATGCTAAAGTTAAGTCACAGAGCAGGCCCATTTGAATCTATAGAACTTATGGAGGAGCTGACTCACCAAATTACCTTTCATTCAATGGGACTACTCTAGTGTGATTTACTACAATAAACAATGTACTTTTAAACACTAAGTACCAATTCGAGAAACCCTATATATGGCTTAACAGGTATTAGACCACTATACAATCTTGAACACATGCAATTTCATTTGATTTTAGGTCAGACCTGGTGAGTACTTGAATTACCATTACCTGACCTCCAGATCAGGTTAGGAAATTTTGCCTGAAACTCTGAAAGGCTATTGCCAGTAAGAATTGACAATACTGGGCTAATTGGACCAGTGATACTATATAAGGCAGCTTGCTATGTTGGATAAAATGGATTATATAGATCCATTTTGTTCTCGTTTCGAGTTATGGGATGGAGATTGCTTGGTCACCTTGGTGGATGACTGGAAGTTGAGGAATGTTTCACTAATCCAAGTAGCTTCTTCAGTCTGAGGAGAGTTCATAGGAGATCCCTCATATATCCTACCAGTATATCAGGGATATATCAGAGATTTCCTACCAACTATCCTCAGACTAAAGAAGCTAATTGGATGAGTAGTGAAAAGTTTCAACCTAATATGAAATAAGTCCATTTGCTATGCCTTAGCTTCCAGATAACCTCACCTGGATGACTGAGAATCTTTACAAATATCTTGGTGAGTGACCTACACTGGGAACTGGACAGGGGGAATATGTCTCTGTTGCTTCTGCTGGACCTTCTCAGTGGCTTTCAATACCATTGACCATGATATACTTCTAGACCATCTCTTTGGGATAAAATTTGGAGACACTGTTTTACGGTAGCTCCGTTCCTTCCTGGACGTGAGAACTCAGAAGGTGGTGCTGGAGGACTCCTGTTCAACACTGTGGCTGTTGGCATGTGGTGTCTCTCAGGCTTCTGTTTTATCCCCTATGCTGCCAATCCATTTCCAGGCAAAAATTCTGGAACTCCTTCTTGCAGGAGGCCAGGTCGGCCCCATCTTCACTATCCTTCTGCAAGCAGGCAAAGAGCTTTCTCTTCAGGCAAGTGTTTCCTTAGTGACTGGCTGTCCAAGAGAGGTTTTTAAAAATCAGATGGTTTGCATTTTTATAGATTTATAATTTTATAGATTTTGTAGATTTATAATTTTGTTGGTTTCAAATCTGTTTCAGTAATGCTTTTACTGAAAGAGTAAAAGGAAAGAAAGAAATAGAGAAATAAAGAAAGAAAGAAAGAAAGAAATAAAGAAAGAAAGAAAGAAAGAAAGAAAGAAAGAAAGAAAGAAAGAAAGAAAGAAAGAAAGAAATGTTCCTGGAAATATAGTCTCAAACACAAATACCTAACTTCTGGGAAGCTCACAAACATGAGCGCAATAGCTCCTGTACCCCAACAACAAGTAATGAGAATGATACTTTATCCTGTATTGGAAGTAGCATAGTGTATAGCAGTCATGATGACTAATAGCCATTGAGAGTCTTATTTTTCATTACAAAATTGGAAGCACTGAGATGAAAAACAAATAAGAGCTACAAAATATGAACATATGTACATTTGACCAGGAGGATATGCTAAAGATTCCCCCTCTCTCATATCTCTCCACATTCTCCCCAGGAAAAAAAAATCTACAGTCTTCATCACAAAACAACAGCCTTGCTTTTCCAGAAATAGTGTGATGGAAACTGCTTTGTTTTAGGACAGACCTGGGCAAAGTGCGGCCCGAGGGCCACATACGGCCCGCAAGCTGCTCCTGTCCAGCCCGCCCGTTGCCACTGAGTGAGCCAGAGCTCCGGCCCTGGTCATCCAGCACAGCAGTAAGCAAAACTTGCGCGATCCGACGCTGGGATCTCGTGAGTTTTGACTGTTACTCTTGAGCCGCAGGCTACGGAGCCTGTGCCTCAAGAGGCCGAAAGTGATCCTTGCGCAGGCAACATGATGATGCATCACATCGCCTGCACGGGATAGAAGACATTCGGAGAGGAAGGCTGCAGGGGAACGGATGACAGATGAGTTAGCTCAGTGTCATTTTTTTCTTTCACCACTGTTTCATTTTATTTTTAAGTAAAGCGGGTTCAGCCCCCAAACACAGTTAGATTTTTCATGTGCCCCCCCTATAGAAATTAATTGCCCACCCCTGTTTTAGGATGTTTTTTTAAAAAGTGAATACAAATGTTCGCCCTGCATATACAGAGAGAGATATATATATTACAGAATAAGTACTACAGTATATGCCTCTGCTTGCTGCCCTTGGCAGAATTCTTGACATTCTCAATTTAAAAAGAGGTCTTCAAATCACAAGCATATATTAGAAAATTGCAGCATTTCTTCAAAAGTGAAGAATTCGGACACCAAGTTACAACTCTGTATGTAACACCAGATGGCAGTGTAAGATCAAGTAAGATTTGGTTTTGAATTGATTTATGGGAGGCAGTACAGTTAACATCAAAATGTTAGTGTTTTAAAGAATACACATGTCAGTCTTTCCTCACTCAAACATAAGCAAATGACCCCCAAAGGCACGTTTCAAGTTTTCTGAGACCAAAGGGCAGACCCAGAGATGTACCTGAGCCTGATATATGTTAAGATACCCCTTTACAATATGGGAACTTGCAGATAAATTGAATGATAAATAGGAATCATGATCCGATAAGTGCTGTTGAAATTTTACTTTGTTTGAAGCTGTTGTGTTCTATACAGAGATGTAAATCCTCACTTGTCTTGAACTTGTAAGTGAAAAGAAGGAACTGCTATATTCTTCTCCTCACCAACAAGGACAAGTGGGCATCTACAGGTGCTGTTGATACTGTTTTCACAGTGGGAAGAATGAAGTTGGAGGAAATTACCCGTTTCTTGCACCATTTGTTTTACAGACATTTAAGAAGCTGAAGCATTGGATGAAATGTTTGTCTCTTTCTTAACAATCAATCTACCCTTCCATGGCCAAGGAGAAGAGACATTAGTTTTATGGAGATATATTTTGTATAAATCACAGGGATCATGAAAGCAATACAAAAACTCTTGCTCTTGACCATGTCTAAAAGTAAGGGCTTCCCAGGTACATTCTTCATCAAGTAGTTATGTGGAGAGGAGACAGCCTGCTTCAGTGTAGAAACTCAGTGAGTATTCATATCCCCAGGCTATGCTTATGGGTAAGTAAAGTCTTGCTATCATGAGTTACTAAACTTCTAAGAAGACACAATATTGCTGATGGTTCCCTGAGTAGTCTGTGTTGGCAGAATAATATTACTGAATGTCTACCATAACTGGTGAAAGTTACCATCCTGGACTATAATCCCCCAGGCAGTGTAGCCCATATTATACTGTTTAGGAAAGAAGCAAAGAAGGGTGCCCAAATGTTACACCGTACCCCATCACAGCTGAGAAGCTACAGTCACACACCTAATATGGGTTGTGGCTCCCCATTCAACATTATGTGAGCTGTTGTTTCTCATGCTCAGTGTACCACCAGCTTTCTTTCAAAATATTCGTGCTTCTCTCCATACAAGTTCCAGTATTTTTCTAACTTTTCCATTTATTACTTTTGCCCATTAAAAGTTTGCGGAAGGGAATTATTTAAGCAAGTTCCAGGCTGGCATACAGTTTACCCTGTATGCCAGCCTGGACATGAAGAAGCTTTCAGAAGTCCCTTCCCCTCATACATCATGTTCTGATCCTCCCCAGTGTCAGAGATCTGAGGTGAAAGAAGCAAAGGCTGCAGATGTTTTGGTGGGAAAGGGTCAGTAGCATAGCAGAGCCAGTAATCCCATGGATGAAACACTGACATTTTCAAAATAGCAAAGGTAAAAGAATTGTCCAGGACTAGCATATTGATGCAAGCTTTTCTATTGCACAATGTTTGAAGGTACTGGAGTGGACAAGTAACAGCCATTGACTTGAGCAAAAGAAACACCACCTTTACTCCAATTATCTCAATGCTGGAGTCTCCTTATAAGAGGCTATGTGGAGCACCAGTGCTTCCCAGATTTACCACTACACAATTGGAGAGACGATCCAAAGCCAGATATCACCTATTGAAGCAGGATTCCCCTCTTTCAAATCTTGGAGGAGGAAGGGTGAATCCAAAACTCATATGACCAAAGACCCTCCCAGCAATCATAGCCTTACCTGGCCAAGATGGTCATTAATAATCACTACCAACAAGGCGTTCTGTTGTGTGCTTTTTAAAGTGATTTTCTGTCATAAAAACCACTTTCAAATATCTATGCAATGCTAGCAGTTCGTGTCCTATTCCTGTTTAAAATCATCATATTTTTTCATGTACCTAATGTCGATTGCACTCAAGACATACATGTGGTTGTAATTTAAGATTTCATGCCACATAAATATTCTATTAATATTTTAATTATCTAAAACCCTTCAGCTTGATTTTTGTTGGCCGAAAGTTAAATTCAGTGGGTGAACAGCAGCCCTGAAAGGCAGCTATGAACTTCATTAAATAAATAATTAAAGTAAATGAATATAATGAGGAACATGTTCCTATTTAAAAAAAAACTACACCAAGCCTCTAGATAATTGTTCTCAGGTTCAAACAGAGTTCAGAATTATTTATTTATTTATGTGGACTGCAACTGGGTGTTCTGGGAGATACAGTCCAAATCAGCCATGTTTATACTCCAATATAAACATGACATGTGGCTTAAAACTGCTTTGAGAAGCAAGGTAATCATGAAGAAGACTGCAAGTTTTCTGCTGCTTAATGGAAGTATACAGTTTCATAGATGGAATTCATGAAATGGATCTTGGGTTGTGTGTGGAAAAATGTTGAAGTGATGCAGCGCTAAACTTAAAGAATTTTTTTTAAAAAAAATTTAGGCAAATTATTCAAAAACATGCAAAAGCCCACAGAATGGTTCTTTACAGTGATACTACCATTCACATCAGCTAAAGTGAATTGAAATGAATTCAATTGACAGATGTGTTAGTTTTAAAAGCTGCCATCAGTTTCCTCAAAAAAACAAACAAACCTTGGTTTGTGATCAATAAGAAGCAGGCTTTGCTGTGCATCATGTAGCTGAGAGTTTTAGAATTGATTTTAATTATGCAAAACCCGATTCATAGGGGGTTTGAGGTATAAAGTATTGGACCGGCTCAATAATGGAAGCCAGCTTACAAGACATGAGCAGGGATGTTAACGATGGGGTGTTTAATTCACAGGATTGTCATAAATGAAAAACAACTTAATAGGGTAAATAACAGAAGGTAATTGATGTTACTAGGAGTTTCCTTTCAATAGTAAGATTGCTGTCCTATGTACGTTAAGTTGTAGGTATTGAACCTTGAAATAAACATGTCTGCATGTGATCCTCATGTTATAAAAGCAGCATTAATTACGTGAAGCTCCCCTGCTCCTCTCCCACGATGCCCCCGCACACATACACTTGAAGATTTCTGGAAGGTGTTGGTGGGAAAAGAGGAAAAGAGACATGATCAGAAATCTAATATGACATTAGAGTTTGTGCAATGATCTATTGATTATCCCATAAAGCTTGCTGAAAAGCCATACAAAAGTAGAAAACTAGGTGGCAACTCTTTAAACTCATATCTGGATTTTCCCATCTACCATAGGTTATTTTTTTAATTTGGCAGCAAGACCAAAAATATTATCAAAGCTGTTAGCTATCTGTCTGTGTCAAGGAAATTTCACGTGTTGTAAAGTCAGTCCCTCAGAAGCCTTAGAGCAGGGACCAGGGAACTTTTTACCTTTTACCCCCCCCATCCTGGTGCCACAACCCAACATCAAAGACCAGTGCACTATTTTTTTTATATCACAATCAATGGAAAACTCAGCAGCAGCCAGAGGACTGGAAAAGATCAGTCTACATCCCAATCCCAAAGAAGGGAAGTGCTAAAGAATGCTCCAACTACTGTACAATTGCACTCATTTCACACGCTAGCAAGGTTATGCTCAAAATCCTACAAGGTAGGCTTTGCTCATGGGGATTGAATCATCGTCAATGGCTGCCAGAGTGGTACTAGCAATGGGGGGGGGGGCTTTTCCTACCAATTTAATCATTCTGTGTGTGGTTTGCAAGAAGGAACAAACCAGGCTAAAGATCATGTCACCCTCCCTGGTGCCATAACCCAACATCAAAGACCAATGCACTATATTTTTTATCATGATCAATGGAAAACTCAGCAGCGGCCAGAGGACTGGAAAAGATCAGTCTACATCCCAATCCCAAAGAAGGGAAGTGCCAAAGAATGCTCCAACTACTGTACAATTGCACTCATTTCACACGCCAGCAAGGTTATGCTCAAAATCCTACAAGGTAGGCTTTGCTCATTACCCCCAGGATTTTCATTTTTGCCCCATTTGGTGTAATTTACCCCTGTTCCCTGACCACTGCCTTAGAGCAACTTGGAAACATCATTCATGCGTAACTAGTCTCAAACTGAGTCTTCTTCCTTCTTCCAGAATTCTGAAAGCAATACCAAACGTTACATCTGAAATCTCCTTAATTGTGTACAATGTTCAACATTAATGGCAATTTTCAGTTTATGGACTTTATATGGGGTCCAAAATCCTCTACTTCCCCTCTTTTTCTCCCTGTTAGACAGCCTAACTTTCAGACATAACTAAGAAGAACGAAGACACGACTTCAAGCGAAGCAGCCAAATAAAACATTCCTAAAGAGCACAGTTATATTGCTATATTTCTAAAGCAAACATAAAAGAACAGACTTTATATCACTTACATTTTCACTTTTGATTCCAAGGGCTGTAAATTAATGTGATATTTCTCAATATTATTCTCCACATCCATAGCAAGCTGATGGCTATAAAAGGAAAGGAAAGAGATTATCTATTAAAATTTCATGTGTCATTTCTACAATCACTAGGAATATCTATCTACTTAAAAGACAACATTGTCCAGCTGCTTGCCCTAAATTGGGTCTCCTTTTGACAAGGCGTCAGGGAAAGTGTCACTAGAGGCCTTAACAGTCAGGTTATTCTAAAATGTCCACAAAAACATCCTAATCTGCCACTCTTACGATGACCTTTTGGGCTTTCTTTCTTGACCTTTTTAACTGTGCTACTTTGTTGAAATAACAACCTGCTGTGTTTTTCAAGGTGAGATCAGCTGGAACTGCTCTTTATACAATTATAAAACTTGACATGACAGTAGCAGAACTGGCTGCATTTTGCTTTCAGTGCCTTTCATGCAAAGATATGGCCCTTGAAGCCCTTAAAATATTCTTCCTATAATAGAGCTTGTTGCAGCATTTACATCCAGCTCATTTTTTGCTCTGGTCGTGAGACATACCATCCTTAAATCCTTACCCAGGCTTCCTTTCGAGTGGCTGATTGTACACAAGCTCCTATCCTTCCCTGGAAAGCCCTCCATGAGTCTTGCTATCCATCATTTTTGTGCTCTTAAATCCACCCATCTTGTGTCAACCCATCCTATGCTTTTTCTACTATCTTCCCCTTTTCTAAGCATTATTATATTTTCCAATGCGTCTCATCTTCTTATATGCCCAAAGAACAAGAGCCACCTTTTCTAGCCCCTTCAAAATCCTCTTCAAACCTGCCTTTTCCATAAAGCTTTTGTCAGAACAGCTCTCCAAAGATAACTAAGCATCCGCAGGAATAAATCAGATATTCACACACCACTCTTCCCTTGTTTGCATTTTTCCCCTTTCCTCTGTTGTTTTTGATGTATCGATTTATAAACTGTACAGATCCAGTAATAGGGACCTGTCTCCCCAGACTTTGCACAGCATGTAAAAAGCACATAAGTGGCACGTATTTGTTATAAAATAAATTATCTTCAACAAAGTGAAAGTTTATCAGTCCACTACACGGAAGTCAGTTAATTTTGAATTGTATTAAAGTTACATAGCGGAAAACTCAGAGTGAATCCGACAGAACACGGGCTAGAGCCCATTTGAAGGCCTATTCCGTGGCAGTGGCCGCAGCAAAGAAAAGGCTCTTTGCTGCTGCCATTGCATCTACACAAAGTCGTCCAGCGGAGTTGTTTTGTGTGGTCAGGGGCTTGGTACCTGCCCCACCAAAACAGCAAAATATTGACCACTCCACAATCCGTTGTGAGGAATGTGCATGACACTTTGCAAATAAAGTCGCTTGAATCCACTCTGACCTGGATGCTGTAACTAATACAGACCCAGTGGATGTAACTTTGTCCCCAGGATGTCCTGTTTTGATGGATACTTTTTCAGTTAGTGTAGCCTGATGATGTGGACAGGATTCTAGCAGAGGTGAATGTGTACTGGACCCTTGCCCTTCCTGGCTCATAAAAGCAGCCAGAGGAGGAATGGCCGATTGGGTACGGGGAATGGTAAATGTCTCCTTGCAGCAGGGTAGGATCCTTTCTTGCTTAAGAGAAGCAGTAATAAGACCACTACTGAAGAAGCCCTCTCTGGATCCCTGTGTATTGGATAACTACTGGCCAGTCTCAAACATCCCATTCCTGGGCAAGGTACTGGAGAGTGTGGTGTTTTCTCAGCTCCAGGGATTCATGGAGGAAGCAGATTATCTAGACCGATTTCAATCTGGTTTCAAGCCTGGCTATGGGACAGAGACAGCTTTGGTCACCTTGGTGGATGACAGGGGGAGTGTGTCCCTGTTGGTTCTGCTGGACCTCTCAGTGGCTTTCAATACCATCGACCATGGTATCCTTCTAACCCATCTCCCTGGGATGGGACTTGGAGGCACTGTTTTACAGTGGCTCCAGTTCTTCCTGGAGGGAAAAACTCAGAAGGCAGTGCTGAGTGACTCCTGTGGCATTCCTTAGGGTTCTGCTTTGTCACTCATGCTTTTTAACATCTACAGAGGCTTTCTGGAGTTTTGGGGTTTGGTGTCACCAGTATGCGAATGGACAGAAAGACAGACAGACAGATAAAGTACTTACTTTTCAAGTAAATATTTTCCATCACCAACTTGCTCCAAGGTACGCTGCAGCCTTTTGAGCTCCTCCTGTAGTGAGACAAATATAAATAAACCAATACATTAGCATAATGTATTCAATGTTTGTCTTTAGGTGGGTCTTACAAAGATGCAGTAAAGCAGACAGCTATAGGTGATATCACTGCATTTTCAATTCAGAACCAGTTGTCCATTTGAGTGTAAAGCAATTTGAGTCCTAAAGGAGGGCCTCTCGTATGCGTTTTTAGGAACCTTACCCTACTACTTCCCCTCTATTTGGCACTGGTTAGGTCTTATGTTGAGTACTGTGTCCGATTCGGGACACTGCACTTAAAGAAGCATGCTGACAAATTGGAACAAGTTCACAGAAAGACAATAAGGATGATCAGGGGGCTGGGAACCAAGCCTTATGAGGAAAGACTGAAAGAACTGGGCATGTTTAGCCTAGAGAAAAGGAGGGGAGATATGATAGCACTTTTCGAAGACTTGAAAGGCTGTCACTCAGAGGAGGCGCAGGATCTGTTCTTGATCATCCCAGAGTGCAGGACATGCAACAATGGGCTCAAGTTACAGGAAGCCAGATTTTGGAAAACTTCCTAATTGTTAGAGCAGTATGGCAATGGAACCAAATGCCTTGGGGAGAGAGTGAGTGCAACACTGGAGGCATTCAAGAGGAATTTAGATAGCCACCTGGGTGAATCCCACCAGGCTGCATGGCCAGTTGGCATGCTAGCTGGGATGAGCTGTAGTCCAAAAAAGAGGCAATGTATTTCCCAAAGAAAAAGAAAAAAAATAAGAGAATTACCTGGAATTTGCAAAAGAATATGCATATATCCAGATGCAAATTTAGAAATAATTTCTCTAAATTAAATGGAATTAAGAGGCATTCCATCTTGATAGACACAGTAGTCCATCTGCTGATCATAACTACAGTGAATCTCCTCTTCCTTCTTTTTCTTTAAAGTGGACTTAAACTGGACAGGCTTTCAAAGAAGCCTGCCAAACAGAGGGCTGCCTTCTGTAAAGAAAGATTTGTGGCCACTCTGGAAGAGCTCTGAGTGTCTTTTTGTTCCCATCAGCTTTGGAGAAGAGCTACTTCTTTGTTGTTGTTGTTGTTTTTAAAAAAACTTAGATTTAACTCAGTAATTCATTCATTGATTCAATTTGTATGCCAATCATCTGGCAAACTGCTACTCTGAGCATACAAATTGCTACTCTGGGCACTGTACAACATACTCAAGCAAAAACCATAAGAACAAATTTTAAAACACAAAGATCAAGAAAGACAGGCATCAAGTAACTGTTTAATAGGCAAAGAAAATCCCATCTTCCTCCTCCTCGTATTCAATCAATTGAGGAGAACCTCAATAAACTCAGTCATAACAATGTCCTATGAGGCATCATATTTTTGCTATAACATTTAAACAAATATAGTCTCCAAATCCCATGAGGTACTAGTCCCCCTCTATTCAGCACTGGTTAGGTCTCATCTAGAGTGCTGTGTCCAGTTCTGGAAGAATGATGCCAATAAACTGAAGCAAGTTTAGAGGAGGGCAACAAGGATGATCAAGGGACTGGAAACCAAGCCCTATGAGGAAAGTCTAAAAGAACTGGGTTTGTTTAGATTTGAGAAAAGAAGACTGAATATAGATATGGTAGCACTTTTCAAATACTTGGAAGGCTATCAAACAGATGTGGGGTAGGATTTGTTCTTGATCATTCCAGAGTACAGGACACATAATAATGGGCTCAAGATACAGGAAGCCAGAATATCAGGAAAAACATCTTAACTGTTACAGCAGTATGACAATGGAACTAATTACCTCAGAAAATTAGACAATTATCTGTCAGATCTGCTTGGACACAGATTCCACTAAGCAGGCAGTTGGACTTCATGGCCTCATAGGCCCCTTCCAACTCAATTATTCTATGATTGTATATTTCTAATTTTGTGAAATAAAGAAGTAATTGGCTCTTAAAACAACAAAACAACCAAAATCCTGTTGTGCAATTACTCAAAGGGTATAACATTTAGATTTAAATTACCGTTAATATTAAAAAATTTATATTCAAAGACATTATTTGTTGCACACCAAGTAGCATGATTCATATACAATTACAATGCCTATTGTCATGAGTGCAGCGGAAGATCTGGAAACTGAGGGGTTAACTGTAGCTGAGGAGAATGCTGAACGATTAGAAACACAAACAGCTGAATCGCCTCCAGATTCTCCTCCCCCAGTAGATAGGCTGATGGCCAGGCTTCAGGGAAGACTTATGATGAAAAGGTCAGAGGATCGCTTTAAGGCTGCCTGCAGAGACATCCGATCAACTAGCCCTGAGTTCTGACAGGATGAAAAGGCTTCCAGCAGTTCTAGGACTGTTTTTAATATATAAACAGCTCTCATATGGCTGAAAGTCCATGGAAGCAACAAGTCAAATCTCTGGCTTGCATCCACGCTCCTGACTATCTTTGTTCTCTGGACCCTTGGCTTTGGACTCTGACCCTGCACTACGTTGTGTGAGTTGGCTTTGGTATTTGGATATTGGCTCTGCATTCTCTGAATTTCTGACATAGGACTGGCTTATCGGACTCCCGGGAACGTGACACCTATAGACATTTATTAACTTATGCCAAATTACTACTAAAAGTTATGCCTTTTGTATAACTGTGCAGCAGGATTCTGGCCAATTTATATTAATAGAAGTTGAATAATGAATTTAAATGTATTAAAATACTGCAGCAAAACCTACTTGTAACTAATTCTTCTATGTAATACCTAGGCCATACACTACTTATCCTATAACAGTACTGTAATAAGAAATAATTGTTCCCATCATATATAAATTCCCACTCTTTGCTTCACTGCCAGGTATCCAAGTAAGGGCATGGTTACACTTAAAAATATTTCTAGATTTATGTCAGCTTTGACCCCTTCCATGAATTCAGTTTACAAATTTCCAACGAGATGATGTACAGCGAAGTACGTAGATGTTTTGGCTATCGGGGGGAGAGTTAAACACCTTGGCAAGCATTGTTTATTTTGAATCAATTCTGTACATTTTTTAAAAATCATTTTTGCATGTGCAATTGCGTCAGTTAGAGTATATTGTGTCTCTGGGGTTTGGCAAGTTTTTGTTGCCAAGGTAACAGGTTGTGTGTTTTCACACACACATACACACACAAAAACACACACACAGAGTGATTTGAAATCTCATATAGTCCCCTGCACCAATATACCGCACAGCTCAATACAGGATTATATATTGTCCCATTAGGACATATACACCAATACAAAGACTACCGTGTGACTTTGAACTGATTTCACATACCTTGATCCTGCCTTTGATTCATTTCAATAGTGTAAACATGCTTTCATTGAAATACCCAGCCAGCAAAAGAACAAAACGACAGATTAAATAAACAATGACTGTCCTTGATATCTGCCTATTCCTGGAAAACACACCGTTCAGAATCAAGGGACTTGTGCTGACATGGTTATCACTGTATCTGTTCTACACTCAGATTTTACATAATACAAAGTTAAGCAAGCAAGAAACCCAAAAATACTAGAACAAACATATAATCTATAGCTTAATATACCTCACAGTTCATTTTTGTGCATCAACCATATGCTAATTTAACATGAGGTAGACTTGAAGGCAATTTAAGAAGCTTTATGCTTTCCTTTCGCTCATTAACTTCACAATGTAATGTAAAGACAAAAGCCAATCAGAGCTAAGCAAGCATCAAAGTAAAATAGCATGCCTGTTTGCAAGTAAAAACAAAAAACCTCAAGGTTGGGAGGTTGAGTTAATTAAAGAGAGGAAATGAGGACATTTACCATGTACATTCTGCCAGTGCTGACCTGGGAATAAATCAAAGTTTAGAGTTTGTGTGCAAGAAGGTCATAGTTCAGACATTTGTATTCTGTACTTCCTGAAATAAAGTGCTAATTTAAGACTGATTTGTAGGTCATCTGATATTGGATGTTTTTTTAAAGGGCGTATTTGCTTTACAGGAACTGCATTTGTTCTTTCTATAATCTGTCAGTTTTTATATTTTAAAAATTTATTGTATATTATGCTTTCAGCTACAGTTAACTGTCCTGATTGGTCTACATTAAATTAGAAAAGGGCATAGAACCCAAATAAATAAAAGGTATCCAAAATGACCTGATGGATTGTACTGTAGTATCTTCCATATGAGGAAAGGCTATGATGATTGGAGCTTCTAATTTTTTTTTACAGCAAGTAAAGTACAGGACGAAGGAAACAGATACATGTGAAGAAGGTGGATGGAGAGGAAGTGAATATTCTGGGTTGAAGGGCAACTTAAAATACTGTTAATATTTAATGTGTTTATTGTATTTACTGCATAAATAAATTTCCCCTCTCTCATAATAATTCATCCACTGAACTGGCCATGCAGATTCATCCACTGAAGCTGAACTGTCCTTCAGAACATATAACGGTCCAGAGTTACACTGCAGAATTTGTTAACATAAGAACTAATAAATTCAAAGGGAATTAGTTGTCCCTTAAAGGACATTAGACATTTTCATGGACAATAAGGAGATCCATGGCTACTAGTTGTGACAGCCTTTCAGTATCAATAATAGTATGCCTCTCAATGACAGTTGCTGAGTATCATGTTCAGTAGGATGATATTACACTCAAATCTTGCTTGTGGACTTTCTGGACGCATCTGTTTGGCTACTGTGATACCAAAATGCTGTACTAGATAGACTTTTGATCTGATCTAGACCTGCTGTCTTTATGTACTCCAGCAAATAAAAACAGCAGCTGTAGGTGTACAGTACTAGCCATAGTTGTATCCTATCTTTCTTCTCCTAAGCTGTGGATGGTGTACATTGGTCTTCTCTTCATTTGCCATTTGCAACTCCTCTGAAAGACAGCAATTAGACCCAGAGATTTTAAAAGTTATTTATGGGGAGTACAACTCTCAGAATTTTCCAGCTATCATGGCACTGGTAACCATGATGACTAAGGGATTCTGGTAGTTGTACTCTAAAAAAGGTAATTTG